AGTCACACTGGTGCCTGGCAGAGGAGAGCCCTTACCTCCTCGCTCCCAGAGCCTCTGCTCTTCCCCCACGCAAGTATCACACTGTTGTCCACCCTTACGTTCCTGCTCACAGACCTCGCTTTCTTCTCACTCCTTCTCAGAGGAGAGGAGACATTCCCGCAGGACATTTTAGGGAAGAGTCTCTGGGAGGATGCCCAGGGAAGTACAAGTCCCAGATCTTGGGATAATGGGGACACAGCCCTTCTTCTGATTTGTGTCTGAGGTCTCTTCAAGAGGAACAAGACACCGGCCATGGAAGCAGCTCCCTTTGCAGGCTTGGGCTTGCAAGAAAATCCCCCCCCTCTGGAGCTGAAGAGGAGACATTGGCTCCCTGAGCTGCCAGTGAAGTTTGTGTCCTACATGGAGGCAGAACTGGCTCACCCAGAAGTTGGGGGGACTAGTCCCCCATGTCCTGAAAATGCTCAAAATTAGATAATGGCCACTGAGGGTCCATGTGGAGCTGGCCTGGTGTCTCAGTCTCCATCTACCCCAGCAGGAGGGGCTGGGGGATGTGTTGCTGGGTGCTGCTGGCCAGGAGAATCCAGTTTACCAGTAGTGGCCCTTGAGTTGGCCACCTCGGCTACATCTTCTTCTCACCTACCAACCACCTGGAACTTCAGGAAAACTTTACTGACACCCCCGGGCTCCAAACCTGCCTGGTGCGAGAGCTCTACCTGCACCACTGCCAGGGAACAAGTAGGTGCTGAGCAACTCGAGCACCCTGCAGGACAGAGCCCATGGGCTACGACCTCCAGTGGGAATGGAGCCCCTGTGTCCTTCATCACTCCGTACCCCACCTCTGGGCAAGGTGTCTGTGAAAAGAAATGGCTCCTTGACAAGCACAGGACCCATGTGTTCCTGGAACCAAGGGTCTCTGCAACAGTGGTCTCCTCGCCTTGGTGACCACTTCGCCTCTGCTCAGATGGGTTTTGCTACACATTGGGGGCTTTCTGAATCACACAATGGTTTTGATCACTCAGGACCTCTGGAGGTCCCTGGTGCATCCCTGCTCAGAGCAGGGCCAGTAGATCATGTTGCTCAGGAGCATCTCCAAGGATAGCAATTCCTGCCCCAGCGTGGTCCCTGTGCCAGTCTTTTACCACTCTCATGGTGAAGATTTTTTCCCTAATATCTAATAAAAATTTCCCTTCCCCAGCTCATGCCTGCAGCTCCTAATATCTAATATTAGATATTAGGGAAAATAGCTCATGCCTGTAGAGTCTCATTCCATCCTGGTGCCCCTCTGAAGGAGACTGGGCACGTTTCGTGTTTTGCGCCCCAGCACCCGAGGGCAGGCAGAGTGTCCCACCAGCCCTGACAAACACACGGGGATGGCCACCACCCCCTCCAGGGCACTTTTTTCCTCCCGAGGGAAGGCAGGGAGTCAAAGCTTTGGAGGGGAAGGAGCACTGATGAGGGAGGACATCCTGCTGCACGGAGCTTTGTGACTTCATAGACCGAGCCCCCAGCACCTGACCCTGCACAAACGACCTGGGGGTGACTTACCAGCCGCGGGGCCAGGGCTGCTCTCCGTCAGGAGACCCCCCCTCCTGCCGTGGTTGCCCTCTTGGGCACTGCAAACTATAACTGCTCTGGCTTCCAGCAAGAAGGGAGCAGCAAACCCACATGCACGGCTGGGCAGACGGGCGCCTCGGGGAGCTGGGGGAAGGGACACATGGTCTTGGCAGGGACAGCGTTTCTTGCAGACCCTTCTGCTGCCCCAGAACGCAGCGGGCAGGAAAACAAAGTGCCGGGGTGGTGGCTGGGCAAGGTTTGGTGCCTGCAGGCAGCTGAGTGACAGCCCCCCCCCCCTCCCTCCCCCCGCAACCCTTTGCTCTCTGCGTGGCTTTTCCAAGGCGGCTCAACCTGCGGCATCTCCTGCTCCATCCCACCCTGATCTCTCCGGCTGGCCTTGCCAAGGCACATCAGTGCTGACCTGCGGCAACCGGCCACCCGCCTGCCTGTGCCAAGACATCTCAGAGAGACCCCCCCCTGCTTCTTCTAGCTTCCAGCATCTTCCCAAAACAAGCTTCTGTCTGTCCTGATTCCTTACCCTGTGAGAACAGAGGTGGCAACTGAATACTCCCCCGGGTCACAAGAGGGGACTTAAAATCTACCGGACATTAGCTGGGGTGCTGGGCTGTCCCCATGCCATCTCCCCCACCACGCTGATCACCCTCCTCTGCTATGCCCTCTCCTCCCCAGCAAAGACTGTTTTTTGGATCCCACATCCCCCTGCAGCACCCCCATCCCCCTGCAGCACCCCCATCCCTCTGC